AACCGCACAATTTTCGTTTTTATGAATTTTAAACATCGATGTTAAATATATTTAATGTGTTCTTAAACATCGTTAATTTTATCTTATCGCATTAAATATTTAAATGTTTAAACAATAGTCTTTTAATATATTCGTTAGAGAAAAGCCACGTTATTTTCTGTCCTCGCATTTTGCAATTAACTATCTGCTTATAAGTAAAGTTATAATGATTTTATAAAATATGCATTGAAACTATATGATTAGTCACATTTGCTCAACGAGATAATACCTTCATGAATTTATTTGATAACTTAATTCGTTGAATTTATTTGATAACTTAGTTTAATGAGCACTGCTAGCCGACTGTTCCAGCAACTAATAATAACGGGGGGAAATATGTGCGTATTTTTAAAATTAATAAGATTGGTAACACGAATATATGTGATAATCATACCTTTTATGATTATGATATGCAATCTTATTTTATGTAAAATTTAATTAAGCATTATATTAGATACCGTAAATATTATTTATACAATCTATTCTAAAGTTTTAATATGAAAATATTATATTACTTATGTTTTAAGAATCTATATGTTTTTTTAGATACAAAGGTATCATTGGTATTAATTTAATCCACTAAAATTGTTAAATTTAATTAATTAGAATTCATTTCTGATATGTATTGATTATAAAAATACAAGCTTTAATTTTTGCACATTAAATTTGATGTTTCCACTATTTTTATTCCTTCATCTTCTCTAAGTTTTAGAATCGGCGGACATAGCTTAATTTGTCAATTTTATTAATACCTTGTATGTCTAATTATAACGTAATATAAAATCTATGTTCAGTGATCGTGACTCTATTTTAATCTCTGCACGAGATTAGATATTAAAGACATTAAATTTTGCAACATGCCATATTCATCTTAGATAGCACAGACATCTCTTACCCTGTCCATCTATGCGGTTCACTACGCAATTATCGTTAAATCTTGTTAACTTTGTCTATATTATTGAATAAGGCTATAAAGATTGTCTACTTCCAATTCGGAATCGGCTTTTGACAGAATCCTTTAACGTATAAAAATATATCCTAGCTAAACTTTTGACATAAAAGAATTGATTTAATTGTACCTCTATAAAAATTGAAAAATACGCAAATTAATAATTAAAAATAAAACATATCGCCTGATTTAAAAATAATAATTCTCTCTCTTTAAAATTGAAAATTGGTTACGATCCAGACAGTCTGATAATTTATTAATTTTATTAAAAGGAATTAGAAGCGGGCTGTATGGGCAAATTGGCAAATTTATTGCATCTTATTAATAATCTAAGAATAATTTCATGTGAGGATATAAATTTTAAGAATTTTTAAATATTTTCATAAATAGAAGTAGATTTCAAAATTTTACAAACTGTATAATTTAGCGTTTATAATAATTTAGTATTATTTAAGAAAGATTTTCATTTGATTAAACTAATCTTTATACAAAATTTTGAAAATTCTCCACGATATGACAATTTACCCAAGTAGCTGACCTGGAGTATGCGTTCAAAGTCGTTCGATGAATCTTTCATGGCACTATATGAATCTCAGTACTTCAGAAGGAGACACACGAGGAAAACAGACAAATCACGAGGCTGAGGTAAATCACGCTTGCAATGATTCTACGTGCACTTCTTTGAGCGATACATATGTTTGTGTATTGTCGGTGTCATCGGTATTTGTGGCATCAATCGATGCAGCTAAGAAGAGTATCGTCATCGATAGTACAGAAGTGTTTGATAGCGGTAGCAGTAGTAGAATAGTATATATATCCGCCACACTGTTATCTCTTGATACTCACCACTAATCGATCGTAGTCACGTGAGAAAAAGAAAAGAACAGATAGAGAGACGAAAAAAGAGAAAGAGAGAGAGAGAGGAGAATTTGAGTAAGTGGATTACAAAACACCGAGCACTCTACACCGCACTAATACTGGATTCGAATGACTATGCTCGCGTCGGGAGCGTCCTAGTCATAGCCCCTCAGGCTTTGCACACGGCACGTGTGCATTGGGAACGTCAATGCTGTTGATGATGCTGTGCCGCCGGTGGCGGTGACGGCGAACACCAAAGGGCAACGGAGATTCTTTATTAAAGATTCAGGTCTTTGGGCTGAAATATGTCTACTAATAATCTTCACGAACTTGACACACACTTTAAAGTCTAATAATGATTTTTAAAAGAAAAATGCTTTGAAATTTCATTTAATTTTAGACTATAACCTGTTAAAATCAATAATCTTTTATTATTTGTGAATTTACATATCTTTATATTTTGTTCATTTTTTATAATAAAATTATAAGAACGTTTATTTATTTAATTTTTTGTTTTTTAACAATAATTGATTCAATTTCCCTGTTATATTTATTAACATATTATTTTATTAAATGTTATACAGTTTTTACCAACATTTAATAAAATTTCGTGGTATTTAATATATTATTAAATACTGATATTATTAGATAAACGATATGTAAGAACTTAATCAATATTTAAATTTAAAACTTAATGATTATATTTGTCATAATGTTGTTCAATCGACTTTATACTCAAAGTTATAAAATATTTGTTAGATATTTATTATTAATTAGGACATTATTTGTAAAAATATAACGATAGTGCATAATAAATTGAAGAGAAACAAATGATAAAGTCCTTTATAAAAGTAGATTTAAAATATTGATTTTATTTAAAAAAAAAACATAGTATTCAAACACTATAGATTTTAGCAGTAAAGTCACAATCTAATAATTATTTTTATTCAAATAATTATTTTTATATTGAAAACCTCAAAAAAAGAGGTAATCACTCATCGCAAATAGTTATCATATTTAAAGAGCTATATTAACAAAATGCTATTATTTAACTTTGCATAATCTGAAATGTGTACAGCCAAATAAAATAACGTACAACATACTCCAGTATATATGTATATATAATTACATAATAATACGCTCAAGTTTTAGAGAAATGGGAAAATATGTATAATTAAATACTAAAATGCACTTTTAAAACATTTCGAAATAGTAGGTTAAAAGTAAAAATGCGTTATAATAAATGCCAGTTATTGTGGTTAATAATTGATAATAATTAATAGTACTAGCATCATTACATACATACATAGTATAACGGTGGATTACTATGATTTTTTAAATAATCTTTAGAATTTTCTACCTAATAGCGGAAATATTAAGAGAGACCATTAACCTGTAAGAGTTATAATACCTTCTCTTCTATCAACAATAATTGAAATCATTAATTATTTTGAGATAAGAAATTAGAAAGCATCTTCCATGTTTTTTTAAGAAATTTATAATTTTTTAAAGATAGTAAAAGATTAATAAAACACAAGGAAGAAAACATTAAAAATGTATATATTTTTGAGAATAAATTTATTATTCTTCTTTTCCAAAACATTGAAAGGATTAACTATTTTTTTATTTTGAAACAAAAATATTTATTCAGATACTTATTCGTGATATGATATATCTTTAAGCCTCAGAAGGATATTAGTTACTTCAAAATATTACAGAATTGATAAAAAAGTTATGATACATAAATAGTATGACAAATTATAATACATATTTTAGTAGCTGGCATGCTACAGAACTCTCAACATACTGAACATGATCTGTCAGCAAAAAGAAGCAACAGAAATGCCTCGCAGTCTAGTAGGTGACACTTACGTATATCATAGATTAATAGTACATTATTTTTACCTACGACAAAAATAAAAGTGAATCATTATTGCGATATTATTATCCTTATTTGGATAAGAAAGATTATTTTGATAAAAATATTTTAATTAATCAAAGTTTTACTTATAGCTAACTCAAGTATAAGTAAATTAAAAAATATTTTAGGAATAATTCTGAATTACGAATTAATTATTAAATGCCACACTACAAAAACAACACATTTGAGTATGGCATATAATTTGCTTATAACTTTTATAAAAACATATTATAAATAATTTTTTCGATTGAAACCGACATTAAAAAACATATCAAGCAAATGTATGTGTAGTTTTATTAATAAAAAAAAATTTAAAGCATTGGAAAAAGAAAGCTGAATATAGCATACTGAAAAGACGTTTAATAGTTAATAAGGCAATAACATTCTTTTTGTTTAACTATACTCTTTTCTAGAATCAAGTATACCTAAAGTCAATATTTTAACTTTGTAAGTTATTACTTCTGTGAGTTATTTTTTTCTTTGTAATTGATAAACACCTTTCTTACTAAAAATGCTATTAAAAAATATTAAAAATATAATATAGCTTTTGAATGTTTCATATCCTATGTATGATATCCTATATATGCCTACATTAAAATACATGTTTGAATTTACATAAGCCACTTTGAAAATGTAAATTTTCAAAGACTCATGACGGAATATTCCACCTCGAGAAGAATTACGATCGTGTCGGAAAGTAAAAATACATCGAAGACGCGAAGAATTCCGAAGGGTATTCACATTTAATGAAACATAGCAAAAATATGCAATGCTGTCGTTTGAACGACTCCCACATGCTCGATTTTTTTCTATGAATAATTTCAATTTTATAAATATAATTTTAACAAGTATTAAATTAAACCGAGTGAATTTTACGAAATATGATGGACAATCATCATACAAATGTTGCAGACTCTTTATATAAGAGCTGACAAAACAGCATTTTTTATTAAATTTTATTTATTTATGATATAATAGAACGGAATTTTATTTTTTATTGTACTATTATTCTATATATTTCTAACATAATATATTTTTTTTTACATTTTCTGTTACAAAATAGTCCATTTTCTTAATATTTTGAAATTATTTGCAACATTAAATTGTATTGCATAATTAATACAAATACATATTACTAAATCTTTCTATAAAGAATTCTCAATCGAGATAATAGTCAAAAAGTTAAGAATAATCGATGCACACTCTAAAATTTAATTCAACTATCATTGAACAATGATTGCAAGTATTTTTCGTAATTCACTATGCTTAGAAGTCTTCAACCGACCTATAATTCTTGGGCTAACGGGTGTTTTCCGCGTTCCCGAGCATCCCCTCGTTCCGACCGCGGGATTCCTCATTTCGACGAAAGTGGCCGAGAGTATCGTAAGAGTGGTAGTACACGAGGAGATCGCGATCTCTCGCCTTTTCGTAACTAGGTATCGTCACCGTAGTGAGTGCCATGGTAAGAAGCCGCGCCGGCCACACACTCATCGTCTAATAATAATATCTTACTCAAATTTCTATTTTTAGGGAGATATACGTGTATGCGCACGTGCCTTTATGTAAAAGGCCCAAGTATATGGTTACGCACGCCTACGTGCGGGCTGCGCTTACGGTTATGAAGACGACGACGTCTCGAATTATTATTGCATACCGGCGGCATGTAATGTGCCTATCGTGGATCTAACAATGTAACAGACAGATGAATAGAACATCTGAAACAGAGCGGCAACGCTAAGAATTCACGTGATAAAGCTTTAATTCTGATTGTTAGAAATAGTTAAAGTATGTTTACGTTAACTGATAAAATATTAACGCAATCTGAAATTGCTTAATCGTAATTTCAACTGCTTTCAGGATAAATAAATATGTCATTAACTATTGCATAGACAGTAACTTTTTATAACATGTTACGCAGGTCATGTATCTATAATATAGAGATGTTGCCATAAAGTTGCTATTTTCGTAATTGTGAATATAATTTTATTTTTTCTTTAGTACTGTAAATGTTCTATATATATTGAAATGCTAATTTACAAATAAAAAGAAGCTAAAATAAACAGAGTATTATATGTATTGTATGTATATTATGCATCTATATATGTATATATATATATATAAATTTTTTTTCGCCAGGGACTATCCCTGGCGGAGAAAAAATTTTTATGAAAAAGTACAGAAAAATTACATAGATTGAGACAAAATCTTAGAAATTCTTAGTTTTTCATATATATTCATAGTAGAACATAGTACATAGATACATTTTTCAATAAATTTTGATCAATTGTTTAAAGACGTGCAATATATTTATCATATCTGTAAAGTAAACAATTGATCAAAATATTTTTTTAATTTATTATTTTATTATATTTTAAAACATATACAACATTAAAAATTAGAAAGTAATGAGTGAGAGAAAGAGAGAGAAAGAGAAATTATGAACTTGATTTTAAAGATTTACATTGCAGAATGTGTGTTAAATACGAAGAATTTATCCTCAAGATATTATACAACGTTACATGTTAATTGCGGTGTACATAGAGCTGATTACAGTACTAAAAAAGGAAAAGAAAAACAGAAAAATAAATCTAAATTAATAAAAAATTTATTTATTGTTTTAATAAATAATTTATTTATCGTATATTGTTTTTATATACGCAGTGTACACTTATAAAGCATCACGAGTACGATCTCACATTTCTCTCTCCACCAACGCTCCTGAAGCATTGCGTTAAACCGTTTCTGTTATCCCGCTAACTCGAATTTACTCGCCTAGCAGGCGGTGCTCGTTATTCGCTAAGCTTGACAAGTTTACGCGCCGCGGACTATTTGCTCGCGAAAGTAAACTACAGCATGCCCGCTGCGAAGTACGCGTGGACCTTCCGGGATAGTAGAAACGAAATGAAGGTGGTCGTAGTTTCCGGTATATTCTCAATCTAACACACTAGGAATCCGGAATCTGCATCCGCGAGTAAGGTAATGTCGTTTTAGCTTTTTACATAAAAGCCGCGAGCGCATTTATCGGCCTGAAAATAGAAATTTGAGCAAGATATTATTATTAGACGATGAGTGTTCTCGCGGTTCTCAAATCGGTCCGCCCATTTGTTACTAAAGAGCTGTCGGAGGATGGTCATCCATATTTCACATCCTCCTCCACCCATCTTTCTTTCTCTTTTAATCTATTAGCGCAGAAGATCGCAGAAAATTAGAAAATACGCGCTGTCTTCTCGCAAAAAATTTTATGTCACATTCATTAGAATTATTTAACAAACCATTCTTTATCTTTTATACACACACATTTATGTATTCATCTCAGTATGTATATTTAAGCATCATTAATTACATGAATTATATAACATTATTTAATTAATATATTTTTAGTAATAAACTTCTTGTATATAAGATTTATAAGATATAGTAGCTTAGCATTAGTTAGTAATTAAATTAATTATAGATCTATTTAATATATATAATGGATATCATTATTAAGAAATATTACATAAAATCTACTAATTTTACTTAATTGTAATATAATAATAAAAATGAAGACAAATAAAAGCATAGCACATTGTAATTATTGAGACACAAACTTTGTTATAAAATACATTTACTTTAAAATTACACACATATATATGTGTGTATATATATATATAAGTTCGATCTTAATGTTTCGACTTCTCTTTAAGCCATCTTCTGCAATTTGAATCCAATGAGAAATGTGTATACATATAATGTATATTACATTCTATAATGTTTAGGACCAATTCTACGATATTTAAAATGATTAATATTCTCTTTTATATCAGTTATGCTAATATAATCCAGTGCAAAGCGTAATTAAAACACAATATTATTTAATTATGTTATGCACACAACTGGTCTATAATTATTTATTATTGTATCAATTTAATGTACATTTGTATAATACATAGTAAACAGTGCATGATTTATTTAAAATCAAATTATTAATTTAAAAATAGATTTTTGTATTGTATAACATATTTTTAATAAAAAAATATTTATATATTTTTCAGAGTATTAAGTTTAATTTTAATACATAATTATAAAGGACAGTATATCTAAATACATTTTCTGTATCAAAGAATATTATAAATGGCACGCATTTTATTTTAATTTAGTAAAATCTGTAATGAAAATCATTCTTTTAATTATAATGAAAACGAGGTTGCCGTCTTTAGAATATTAATAAAAATTTTGTAATATAATCTTGTAATTCCTTTGCTAATATTGAGAAGTAATATGCTGAACATTTACTAAAATCAATTATTCACTAATAAAATTTAATTACACAAAAGACAATTACAAGGAATTTAAAACAAAAAAGTACCTGGAAATAAATAACATTTTTAATACTAGTGGCGTAAAAAATAAATATTTTTATCAAAAAAATTTTGACTTTAACATGTAATTTTAAAATATCTTTAAAATAGTAAATTTTAAGATTAATTAATAGATAATACTATCCAACAAACAACCTGTTAGATGTTTGTTATCATTTTGCCGTCAAGACGATGTTAAAGACGTCATAATTTAATTTCAAAATGTCTCGCATTCAATCACATTTATTATTCTCGATATGTAGCCAAAACGATCGATGTCATCGTTTTTCATTTATCTCCGGATCCACCGGACCACGAAAATACCCAAGGTCGGTCATCTTTAGTAATAGCTCGTCAGTATGTTAGCAACTAAATATAGATGGCATACAATTTGTCATTTACCGACTGCAAGTAAGATAAATTAGATTTTCATAAAAATTAATATATCTGGTAAAATGTCTATTTTTTTTATTATTCTTACACTCCTAAAATTGGGGCACATTAATGTATATGGTCTATGTAATAAACAAATATTTGTTTCAATTCAACTTATGAAATCTGTTCGACTTGCTTACACTTTTTATACTCAGCATCTTCGCTTTCTCTCTTTTCAGCGCCAAATGTATATCTATCTCTATCTTTTAAGTATAAAAAAAAGTGTAAGCAAATTGAACAGACCAATTGTACCGTGTGCACTAATTCAGAAAGTGCAAGAATAAAGAACCGATCCAACCAACCTTATCTTATGATGTAAGTGGTGTTCGCTCTGTCACGATCTGTTGATTTTACTAAAATTATTCATAATTCTGACTTGAATTGAACTGATTGAAAATCGTATGACGATATGTCGATTAAGCAAAGTGCACAGGTAATATAGTCATCTTATCAGGCAATTCAAAGATAGAAAATTATCTCTAAACCTCACGTAGTGATACTACAAATATCATATAATTTTTCTAAATTAATAATATTATCCGGTTGTTGTTATTATTATTGTAAATTTTTTTATTCATCCATTTATTACATTTATTTACTATGTATTTAAATCAACATTTCAAACTTATTGCATTTTTAATTAGGAAATATATGATATTATTTGCAATATCTATTAATGTCTATCTACTAATTGTTTGCAGTATTTTAAAAAATTAATAAATAAAATGTTCAATATGACTTGAAATTTAAATAAATCAAAATAATATATGATAATTGTCATCAATAAAACGCAAATAAAATTGTTGTAGCGATTATATTATATGCCAAAAATAAGTCGATGGAGTAAAGGAATTGGTGCTGATTTGCCAGAAGAATATAAAAAATTTTGGAAAGAATGGAAGTTGCAAGAACCGGCTGCAGTTCATTATATTAAGAAGGAAGGCATTTTTGAAAGAAATGAAAAAACTGAAGAAGTGTAATATACCTTTATATTTTTTTGGTGCCGCCATCTAAAAAAAAATATCAAAAAATTCATCCCTAAAATCCTCCGTTTCATTTTTATCTAAAATATTTTTTTGTATTACCAATTTCGAATAAAAAAGATTATTAATTAAAACGAGATCCTATATATAATATATTTATATATTAGCTGTTGGAATTAATTCGTAGCGTTTTTTAATGAAAGAATGTTATTTATTTCACATGAGCATTAAAAAATACATTAATGAAAGTACTTCCCATCACTTGTAAAACGCTACGAATTAATTCCAACACCTAATATATATACATCTATCTCACTTATTATAATTTTATTAATTCTAATTTAATTAATTTGTTTATAGATATCCAGTGCAAAATATACCAATACCTGTAATATATCCGAAAGAAATGAATGATGGTATATGGGGAGGAGAAGCCATGATTAAGGGTTTTAAGAAAAAAGGTATATTTAAAAGAAGGGTTCCACATTTTTGGTTACCAAGTCTGTTCAAGTCTGTTATTTATAGTGAAGTTCTTGATACATATATGAGAATTGTTATTACTCAGAGAGCACTCAGATTAATTCATGAAAATTATGGATTTGATCATTATTTATTGAAGGTGCGTTAAACTTTGGGCTAACAAATAAAAAAAGTGGTGATACTACACATATTGCAACATTTTTGACATACATAAAATTTTTCTCATGAATCTACAAACTATTATTTACAGACACCAGCTTGCGATTTGAAATCTCTGCTTGCTTTGAAACTAAAACGTCAGATACTTATCGCATTAGCAGATAAAACTTTGTATCCTAATGATCCAAAAAAGCATACGGAAGTATACGCTAAGTACGAGCAATATCTTTCAGCTGTAAGAAATTTGTTTATACATTTTACAAATTAAAAATTATATATAGGATGAGATATTTCAAATGTTGATATTGTCCCTGAAATATTTGTTTTCTTTACCAATTGATTCATCTCATTATTCTGTGCATAAAAGCATTAAGCCATTTTTATCAAAAAATGAAGTTCAAAATATTTTGTATTTTATATGAAACATGCAAGAATAAAGTATAAAATATTTTGTAAACTATTTATTTTCGATATTTCTACTTTTATATGCAGAATATGTAGAGAAATCATGTAAAAGAAATACAATCCCATTAAAAAAATAACTATAATTTTTATATGATATGGAATGAATTGATTTTCCATTTGTGTCCCATCAGGCCGTAGAACTTTTGTTTGAATATTTTTCTATGCTTTTATATTTTTCAAAATATTTCGATGTGAAAATTAAATGAGACACTCTGTATATAAAGATACTAAAAATATTTTAATATTGATAGTTGACATTTTATATTGCATAGAATATATATATATATATATATATATATATTATATATGTAATTATTATTACAATATATTTTCAGTATACAAGAAAAGAAATAGAATGGTATGGTTTAACATACGAGGAAGCTTGTAAAAAATGGATGCAGTTAAATGTAAAACAATCACAACCTTTGAAAATCCAATATAGATCAGAATTAATTGCCAAACTTAAGGAAAATAAAATTAAAGAAGCCGAAAACGTAAATGTTGTATCACCAGAAGAAACGTACGTAATTATGTGTATTATTTTTTTTCATGTTACTATTCCAAAATTTACAAGTGGAATTTTTTTACAGGAGTTCTTGGTTAAACAAACTGAATCCTTTCTCCAAAAGTTCGAAAACTCAATAAGTAAATTTCTGTTTGTTAGACATCATGAAAAATGTTTTACATCTATTAAATTATTAATTTCTTGGAGAGAAATTATGAAATTTTTTTTTTTTTTTAGAGAAATAGAGAGAAATATATATCTTTTGACAATTATGAATATTAGTACAATGGAGAAAATAAAGCATTTATTAAAACTATCAATGATGATTTACATTCTTTTAATGTCTGATTTAATTTCTAATTTTTCTAAAATTTGCAGTAAGTTTCGATAACAAAGTTAAATTTTAACATTATACTATCAATATTTGTAATTTATAATTGCAGGCTATATACTAAAAGCATGCATTTTTCAATTAAAATTAAAATATGTAGTTACATAATGGATATAATCATTATATAATGGAGATTATTATACACAAAAAATTTAAACTGCAAATTTGTCCAAAATTTTTATATTGTAATATCTCTGTCACAATTATAGATCATTTATTCCTAAAATTATGGTTAATTTATATCTATTATGATATTGAGCATTCTAAGTCGCCATCTTTTGGTAAACAATCAAGCATCACGGCGACAGCTCTTGTAATGTACGTCATCGTTCCATAACTTCCACTAGGAGCAGTATCGTAAAAGTGTTGACAAATATATGCTGCTCCACCACAGAGGAGTGTTCCCATAGCTGTCATTTCACGTTGCTCCTTTGGTTTTGCACAACATAATGTTGCATCACCGTCGATAGCCATCTATAAATTTCATTTAATTATCTTTTACTTATTTAAAAAATATAGAAGAAAAAAAGAGTAGTTTTTTTAATGACAATTCTTTTATGTATTTCTATATACATTTTATATTAGGACCATGCTCTTAATATAAAATATTTATTATTTCAATAAAAAATAATTTTTAATATTGAAAAGGATTTATTTTAGATAAAATAAATCAATAAAGTCAATTTCAATTCTAATAAAATAAGTATTATTTTAAATTGTTTGTATCAATAAATGCCTAAATTGCTTGAAAGGACAGTTACTGAATTATTCTTTCTATATTTCGTATTTTGTATTACATTTTTGCTTCAGAAAAATTCAATAAGATTTAATAGATAATATAATATTGCTGCATTATTAACATTATAAATATAAACAAAAAATACCTGATCTTCCAAGAAAATAGCGTTTGCTTTATGTACTAAATGTTCAACTTCAATCAAACCACCTAAAGATGGCACAATGTTATATTCGGTTACTAATGTTAGTACCATTAAAGCCTCAACAACAAGTTGACGATATTCTGGCTGCGGTATAGTGTTCAAAACGGTTTCTACAGCCAATGCAAATTTCAATTCGCCAGATGTCATTTCCTGTGTGAGATTTTGAGGCAGTACTCTTCCTTCAATCGCTAAACCGTGACACTGTTAAAAGTTATAATTTTATAGAATTAAAATGTTGAAAATTCAAGATATTATATTTATATATTATTGAATTTTATATATATATAGCGATTTACCTTTTCGAGTACTTGCCACACACGCGGATAAAAATCTCTTGGTACTCTGTTCAATGCACCGTCTAATCGTCGCCTTCGCAACCATTGACCTTGTCGATCTGCTTCTGCCTCATTATCGGCATTTTGATCAGCGCTTAAGAAACCACCAATTTGAGATTTCTATACAAAAGAAATATGTTCAACTTTACACATATCTATTTAATTTGTAAACGATAAAAATATGAATCGATCAATTAAATATAAAAAAAAAATCATTAAATATAAAACATTAAACTAAAATAGTTACGTAGCAAAACAATTAAAAGAAAATTAAAAATTAAATATATTTCTCTGTACGTATACCTAAATATGTCAGTAATCGTCAAGAGTAGTGTGTTAGTAATTTACTAAGTCAAATGTTTTAGACATTGTATTGGCAATATTACCTTACTGACTCTACTTGATTTGCAGCTAATGACGGAAAAATTGCCACGACCAACTGCAATATAAGGACATATGATTGTTATATAAATATTCTAATACTCTCTCAAATTTTTAATTAACCGCAAAAACATACCACTACTAATAGCAAATTCTTTTCCGCTCATAATGTGATGCAGTAAATTTTTCATCTCAAAAGGAGATAGATTTAACAAGTGCTCAGAAGCTTCTTCACCAGTGCAAATTAATGTTCGCGATAGTTCTGTCGCCATAACTTGTATGATCAAACCGACGCGCAGTCTCAGCATCTCGTGAAATAATTGTGGCTCTGTTCTAATAAACATCGCCAGATAAACGAGCAATTCTTGTGTCAGCATAGCGGTCGATTCGTCATCACCGTATGCTTGATGAATCAGAGCTCGTAGTTCATTCTCTGGTAGAGGCGCGACTATAGTATGCTCGTTGCTCGGTGGCATGCCAACAGTCACTTGCTTTTGTCGTACTAGTAAATCAGTAACCGCTTTCGCTAAATCTTCCACTCTTTTACCCAACATACCCGCGCTGTGTCGTACAATACCCCACATTTTCTGTTGACAAGCCTTTTCATAGAGACTTTTTAACAAATCCTTTATTAGAACGGGATGTCCCTCTTCTACTACACCTGTGTCAAAAAGTAGTCCCTTCGAGTCCACCTATGTAATGTTTTATATATGTAAAATAATCTTTGAACCGTTTGTATAAATTAATAGAAAATCTTTTTTTACAAAATTAAAACGAAGAGATAAATATACTAACAATATACTGCAAAATATCTCCTTGCTCTTCAAGACTTTCTGTTTCGCGCAGCATAGATAGCAATTCCTCTACTTCAGTCTCAGCATATTGGGTCTCAGATATTGTTCTTTGTTTAGTTTTGGGAGAATTTTTCCACGATAGCAGCTCGTCTGTTGGCGATGGTGTGCGTTCAATCGTCACTGGTTGAGTTGAGTTGATAGACAAGGTAGTATCTGTCACTTCAATAAATGGATTTGTAATTAGAATAGTAGAATGTCTACGGTCTTCCCCTGCCATTCCAAGAATTTCAGCTGAAATATATAAAAGAACTTTTTAATTTGTATAAAATTAATATTATTTGTCATTAAAACATCTTGTATAAATCCGTACATAAATTCATATATAAACACGTATAAATCCATATATAAATATAAATATGTATTAGCATTAGCAAGTTTTATCACAATACATACATGTATGTAATAATGTACGCGCTGCGTGCGCGCATTATAATGTTTAATAATTAGAAAGAGATATAAATAATAACATCATTCAGATTTTGTTTAATATTATAAGTATTATAAAATTTTATCTTGATATTTATAAAAAAAATATCAGAGATTAAACAATGCAATACATATACAACAATAAATAACAATAGTATCTGGTTAATAAACTTACTTTCTTGGAAGATGATAACAATCACAGCAGTAGGAAGACATTGCATTATTGTTTAAGGGTCCTCTTTAAAAGACATACAATCAGCACACGGTTAGAACATGAAAACCATTCCATCTGAAATTTTTTTAACGGGACAAATGTTGCTTACGTTCGACAGCTATGGATCGCGTTTTTTTTATTGCGCCTTTCACGGACATTTTACGCCGCAGATGTTTCCCTGTACGAATTGGACCATGTTTACTAAGAAGTCCTGTACGATGAGGAAATGGTCGCATTAAATGTTCCTCCAAATATTGTTGGACCTTGTGAACATAAATGAGAATTACATATCACACACATATACAAATAATTATATGATCAAATTTTGAAATATTTTATATGCTATTTAAGTTTTAAGATTTTGCAAATAAAAATTGAATATTGAGTGATATATATTTAAAAAAATGTATAAAACAAAGTACATATTTAATTATTTGATAAATAATTCTGTTAATTCATGTAACATATTGTAACTTTATTCTGAACGAATGTCATTTGAATTTTACATACCTGAGGATTTAATTTATCAGGACGACCATCCTCGGAACTTCCCAGGAAACTAAGATTTGTGATACACGACGTACTCAAAAAATCGTTCAAGTTTCCCAATGATACTCTAGTACCGTTGATGTAACCGCTTTTAAGTTTTTTCAAGGTAGTTATCATAGCTAACGGTATCTTACCTTGATCTAAAAAAAATGTTAATGAACTTTAATAAGAAGTAAAAAATAAAAATAAATATTTTTTCTTACTGAAAATGATAACTTTTTTACAGAATATCACAAAATTTAAGTATAGAAAATAAAGCAAAAAATTCATTTAAAGATCACAATAAAAATATATGCATGTTTTCTATTTTAGAAAAGATTTTTAAAGATTTAAAATTTGCTGATAAAAACTATTTCTGTTTTTATTTCTTCACAAACTATGCTGCAACAAAACATTTATACTCGAATTTTATGATACTCTGTATGTGATTTCTTCTAACATTAATTTCACGCTAACATTATGCTACACAATCCAATGTATTCGACGAGCTTTTCGTTGTAGGATGAGATCTAAAGCTTCCGACGAAGCCGTACCTAAATGATTATGAGTAGCGACAAGGGTTACAGTTGGTCTGCCGAGCATTTGCTTCCAGTTGATTTTGAGGAAGGCCAAGGTGGTTGTAAAAGTGTTCACAAGCAGGTCGACGTCGTATGTTGTGTAGTACTCCTCCGTGTCAAATTTCTAACACATGCAACACACGCGCAATACCACCAAACACAATAAGCCATATCAGGATAATTTAGGATAATTTTATTGCTTGATGCTTGAAGATGAAACAATCTCGCTTCGAATATTTTGCTTTTATCTCGCACTGTATCGGTTGAACATTTTTAATATCAACACAACTCACAATCGCATCCACTTTTGAGACCCGAGTGTCCAATTCATGTTAGTAATAAAAAGAATAGAAACATAACATAAATGAAACTAATTAAAAGCTCATGTCGTAACTCTCCATGGATAATATTATGTACTAATTTCGAAACTAAATATGTTATTATTGAAGTAAATTATAGTTAAAACTCATATAATAATTATAAAGGCATATATATTAGGTGTTGGAATTAATTCGTAGCGTTTTACAAGTGATGGGAAGTACTTTCATTAATATATAACAAACATAAATCCTGAAGTATTTAAAATCATATATAAGCCATAGAGAGTTAAGTAACTGTTAAATGAAACCATGACAAAAACAAACGCATGCAAGCAGACATTAGTTGTTCACA